CCTGCTGCCCTGCCCTGCCCTGCCCTGCCCTGCCCAGCCCAGGCCCAGCCCAGCCACAGCCAGCCCAGCCCAGCCCAGCCCAGCCCAGCCCAGCCAAGCCCCAGCCAGCCCAGCCCAGCCCAGCCCAGCCCAGCCCAGCCCAGCCCAGCCCAGCCCAGCCCAGCCCAGCCCAGCCCGCCCAGCCCAGCCCAGCCCAGCCCAGCCCAGCCAGCCCCCCAGCCCAGCCCAGCCCAGCCCTCCCTGCCCTGCCCTGCCCTGCCCCTGCCCTTTCTGCTGTCCTGTCCTGTCCTGTCCTGCCATGTGTTGTGCTGTGGTGTGCTGTGCGGTGCTATGCTATCCTGTCATATTCGCTCTTCTTTTCCGCTCTCTGTCACTTCCTCTTCCCATCCCGTACTCTGCGCTGCTCTGAACTACAACGCGCAGTGTTGGTTCAGCTCTGCTCCCTCTCCTCGTTTCCTATCCCGGCACGCTATGCGTGAGCCCGTCACGCACAAAAACGGTAATGGAGAGCAGATAATGAGAGGGCAGCGGGGCCGCGGCCTCACGGCCCGCCAGCCCGCCCGAGCGCCGGAGCGCCGAGCGGCGCCGTTCGCCCGGCCCGTCACAGACGACAGTGCCAGTTCCACGAGCGGCGCCGCCCGCGCTTAAGTCCCTGGAGCCGGCTGGCGGCGCAGTGCCGCAGTGCCCCCCTCGACAGGGATACGCACTGCAGCATCCGCCGGCGCTGGTTGCTGTGGATGCGAGCAAACGGATGACAATTTAACCGGCGGAGAGTTACCCCCGCAGCGCTCGCAGGAATTCAGACGCGCGTCCCGACGAACCGATCTCGCACGCAAACTGCGACCTGAAGCACGGCTCCTCGCACCGTGTTTGGGCGGCCCGGCCCGATCCGGCGGGTGCGGCCGGTCGCGTGCCGCCGTTGCATGGCGGCGGCCCGCCCGGCCCGGACGACCCCGTGCCGTGCGCGCTGCAGCCGTCGGGCCGGCGTCTCCCGAGCAGCGGCCAGCCGCGCCAAACAAGGCGTAACGCATCGACCGGTCGGCTCCACGGACGGTCCGCGGATGGGTGGGAGGCCACAGATGGCCAGCCACCGCGCTCCCCCGGTCAGCGCACAGTACAGTCCCCCGCCCCCGCGCACCGGCTATATCTCGACACACACGGCGCGGGTTTAGAGTATCATCCCTAGCGTTATTGAACGCGTTACCAGGACAAAATACAGCAGTATCGCCGGCCCAGGCAAACGTCAACCGGTCCCTACAATAGCCGACGTCTTGGCACAAGTAATGAAAACAGGCGACGGGAGAATATGTAAATATAGCGCGTGAAACCGCGAGACATGGGATCGCCCTCGAGTGACAGCCGACTGACAAGCTGAATAGCTATTGGTACGTCACACCAGGGCGGCCCGCAGCGGCCCAGGTCCGCAAAACGGGGCCAGCCATCACACAACATAACTGAAATGGAATGCGTTGAGTTTGAAGCCAGTGATCATCAGGCGTTTATAACCTAACAGGCGTTTCGCACTCGAAGGCAACATTGGTTCGATCTATCCCCTGGAAAATCAGCTCCAAAATGCAGAGTGGGGCCCCACCCAGAACAAAGTAAAGGCACATTCGTACATACTTGCGATTCACAATCAGCTCACGACTGTCCGCCGTGAAGCGCGACAAAAACGCCGGACACCGCCGCAGTCCCGCACGGCGCGTCCGCCAAGTCCCTCCTGCAGTCCTCGCACGCAGTCTCCCACCGCACAACACACACTAGCACGAAGTGCCGATCTACCCGTCACCGACGGCACCGGAGACCGGACATCAGCTGCCGGCGCCGAACGCCCTCCTCGGCACACAACCCGAGCTCGGTCCGCCGCCTGGAACGCGCGGCGCCGCGTCTGAAGCGCACCGCGGTGGCTGTTCGAGCGGCTCGGTTCGGGCGCGGCGACTGCCGGGCGGACGGCCGGAACGCGCGGCCGGCGGACGGGCGGCAGGACGCGGCCGGCGGCGCGCCAAGACGTACTACCCCGGTCACCGGGGCTCAGCGCAATTAATCATCATAAAGGGCTGGACCGGGAATAAAACCAACACGGGCCGAAACAACCGAGCCGGCCCGCCGCGGGCAGCAACCAACCGGTCATTTACATGAAGAATCGGCCGTAAGCCGCACAACAACTGAAAGTTGGGCCATCGCGGTCAACAGCGTCTCGGGGACCCGGCCGGCTGGCGACGGCCCGTCTGACAAACCGGCGACCGATGTGACCCCGGCGTGCCATGGCGTCGATGGCGCTCCTCGCCGCGCCCCGGCGGCTGGCCGCGCGCATCGGGGACCGACGGCCCGGCCCGGGGCCGGGGCCGGGGTCAGCGGCGGCCGACCTCTGCCGACGGGCGCCGGCCGCGCCACCGACCGCAGCGGGCGGCAGACGTGCCGCGGAGCCGACGGTGTGCGCGGCGCGCAGCACTGGACCATCGGACCACGGATGCCAGCCGATGCCGTCCGGAACGCGTGACCCCCGGGTCTCTCAGCGACCACATCCGAATCACGCCGGAGCGCGGCCATTGACGTGAATGTAGATGAAACACTAGGCCACAGGAGTGTCACTTTTAAATACAGTCTAAGGGGAGGGGTAGCTGAGACGATAGGGGTAGACCTAAACTACCTCCAAATTATGAGCTCTCTCTCCAGATTTCGGCCCCTTTAAGCTAAGTTCACGATGTCAACATACAAAGCGCCTTTTAACAATATTTGGTCGATTCCAAAACTTGTTTTGATCCCTCCCACTTCAAGGCGATGTGAAGCTACATTTATGTAAAGCTTAGAAAGGGACGAGAACCAAATAAAAATCCTAGTAAATCGCCAGCTGTAGTGATCACCGAAAAAGTGCCTTTATGCACTCATCAATGGTGACGAGAAAAAGATGCTTTATGCAGAATGGCGTGACCTGACCAGTATAGAGGCTATACAACAGACTTGTGTACACTGTAAGAACGTACCTATAAAAAATAAACCTGAAATGCAACAGCTTCTCAACCGACATGTGGATAATGGGAAAGACATACAAGGTAAAGGTAGCTGGTGACTGTCACCAGCGACCGTTGGCAAGCAGTGGACCAACGCTGTGACACGTGTTGAAAGTTGCATAAACCAGAAATGTCTTGAACTAGCAGTGTTTTGACGTTATGAGCTTCTGTGCTGAAACAATTGTCCTTTAGCACACCAGGAGGATGTGGTTAAACGATGCTATTGCTAAATTATTCGTCATACTGAGAAAAACTGACGTTTGAAAACTGTGCTCTTGGTCAGATTCTTTGAAAAAAATCCGCCAGCACTACCAAAGGATTTCTTCCAAAGGGACGATAACTTCCGTCGATATCATTTTCTGTAGCGCAACCAGGTGAGAGACATACCGAGGAAATGGACTTCACACCGTTCCGTCCGAAGCGCACCATAGCTCATCCCGACAGCTCTGTTGGTTAGAGCGCCTGCCTTCTTGGGTTAGTCCTTCGAAAGAACACAGTGACGCCCCTGCTAGGCCAGCATTCACGCTCGAACGTACGACTTTCGAGGCACAGCGGAGTAAGGCAGCGCCCAAACTACCAGCTCTGCGCTATCGCTGATATCCCGTGCCGTCCTCTGCGTCATGTCGGGCAGCCGGGGCCCGTGGTCAGTCAGCGCCGGGACCCGCGGTCCGGCGCGGGGCCAGCAGCCCGGCCGCCCGGCCCGGCGCGACGGCGGCCGCCGGCCGGACCCGGACGCCCGGGCGAGGCGGCCGCCCCCGCGGTGCCGCGGCCATTCACTGTCGCCAATAACACGTACATCAATTACGGTGGTGGCGGCGGCGGCGCCGCCGGCCGCGCGGCGCGCCGCCACCGCCGCGCGGCCGGCCCTGTTTTTCAATCGGACGCCAGTCGGCGCTAATCCTCCGGGCCGGCGGAGGGGTCTCCAATTACGCTCAGTTCGTTGGCCGGCCGGGCGCCCGGCGGCCCGCTGACCCCGATCTCCAGTAATGTCCCCCCCCCCCCCCCGTGACGGGATCGTCCAGCCTTTCCTGAGATGAACGCGCCCGAAACCCTACGGCCGGATCTCGCGGGAGGGCATAACCTCGCCACACTGGCAGGAGGACGCCCTTGCTACCGACCGCAGTCTCGATTACGACCCTTTTCAAAACCGCTGTTAGGAACCCATCGTCTTCGCCTCCTCGTCTCACCCATCGCCTTCGGTCGATGACCTCATGCAAACTTGCGTCAGGGTCACCAGCACCGCACGTGTGCCGTCAGTGGCACTAATCCCCCGCTGACGAGGGCATCATGTCCCGCGCACCACACAGGTCAGGATCAGTCCCCGCGTCGTGCTTCACTACCGCATCCAGCACCCGCTCCCAGCACCTTCAGCCACGAGAACAAGCTACCCCTTCCAAAGCGATACTGCCCTGACAGCATGCTTTGCGGCCAAGCTCCCGTTTCAGATATGGGATGGACGGCACGTCTTCCGCTCTTGCTTGCGGCATCATTTAAAAAAAGACAAAATTAACGACACAGCAAGCCCTCGTTTGAACAAGGCGAAGTTGACGACACAGCACGCCCCATCCGAACAAGATAAAGTTCACGACACAGCACGCCCAAGTGCCGTGTTAGATGAGAGACAAACGTCAGATGAAACTCGAATGAACGTCACAACCCGTCACAAATATGCATGCACAAAGAGCATGACCCCTGCCGGAAGCCACTGATCAAACAATCTACCATTGATGGCGCCGCTGCGCGTAACGCATACCACGGATCCGCTAAATGACTGACGGCCCCAAAGCGGCCGGATCTAATCCGCCATCGTGCTGGCTTTTGTGCGCCTTGCCATTACTTAACATTGTTCGTACGATAATTTTGGTGTCAAATTTTTAGTGCCTGCTTAAGACAGCTGACACAGATAAGAAATGACACTCCTGCCGCTCTTTGCCGTGCGATGCGGGGAGAAGGGCGTGCCGTGCGAGAGACAAGCGCTGCAGTACTTACCGTAATATCCAGACTGTCTCTTATGTTGGCTGGCTGCAGACCAGTCGACCAATCAGTGACGATTACAGAGATTCATACCAATGTTGTTATGGGATTTACAAAGGACAAATAAACAGCGGCCGGCCTGTAGCCTGGCAAAGCCAGATCGGTCCCACCGTACGGAATGACAATTGGCAGCCTCAGACAACAGCACTGCGCCAGATGGAAACCATGTGCATCTGCTATGTGATCCGTCATCATGGCTTGCGCTTCATGATCTGCTTTAATTCTAGCAGAGACTTTAAACGAGATGTTGAGCAGACCGCACTTATACTGGTCGTACGTGCAGAGCACATCTGCACCAGCTGCAGTGCAAATATAGCTGCACGTGTTGTTTTCCCACGTGCCGTGCCGACCCTCGTCCGACTTGGCGGGTCACGACCACCGCACGGCGGCGCAACCAGGCCGAGTTAAGCCGCGACCGGGCCGCTCGAGTTGAAACCCGACACACGGTGTCGCTCCACGGACGCCTCTCCGGCTCAGCGGGCCGCACAGTGTCGCCCACACGGACGCCTGCCCAGCGCAGCGGGCCGCATAGTGTCGCCCAACGGACGCCTGTCCGGTGCTGTCCGGCGCAGCGGGCCGCACAGTGTCGCCCACGGACGCCTGTCCAGCGCAGCGGGCCGCACAGTGTCGCCCAACGGACGCCTGTCCGGTGTGTCCGGGGCAGCGGGCCGCACAGCGTCGCCCACGGACGCCTGCCCAGAGCAGCGCGGGCCGCACATTGCCCCCCCCCCCCCCCCCCCACCGCCCCCACGGACGCCAGTCCGGCGCGGCAGGCCACAGTGTCGCCCCGCGGACGCCCGTGCGGCGCAGGAAGTTGCGACTCTGCTGACCTACCTCCCATGTCCTTGAGCTTTTTGGCATACAGCTTCAGCTGCTTCTTGTACTCTTGACCTGCTCCGCAAGATTATCAATCTTTCCCGCAGGTCCTGCAAGAAAGAGCACACACAGCGGTTATCATTACAGCCAACGAACTTGTGATCTACTTATACCTGAAAAAAATTGGCTCAAATTCCGGCCCATCAGTCCGCCACCATTGCCGTCAGGCTGTTCGCGATGTCCAAAGGCTTACCACAAAATGTTAAGTTTCTGACGAAATGCGCTCCATGGACCTGTTTTAACAAATCGGTTTATTACAATTTCGAAGGCATTTCACGTCCGAGACGGGTGGTATTGGTGGCTCCCGCCCCACGCCGGCGTGCTGACTGGTTTTCTGCCGCGCCAGTGCGGATGCGGGCGCGGGCCGCGTGGTTCCCGGACTGGCCGCGGGAGCTTCTACGGACCTGACAAAAGGCCTCGGGAATTTTTACCGAAATCGTTTAAACAAAGGGGACTTGTTAAACAACGGGGACTTGACCAACATAAAAATTTATGGAAAGCTCAACGAAATTCTGAGCCATGTGATTTGGCAGGACAGTATGAGGAGATGCGGGCAAAATGAGGCACAAATGTGCTCGGCCTACCTTGTTAAGGCCAAAAAACCCAGCTCAAACCGTCCAGCAGCCTCCATTGTACAGGCAGACCCTCAGCGGATCTGCATACACATCACAGGCTAGTCCGTTCCCCACGTCAAGACCCCGACACAGACGAACCGCCGCGAGCAGACCTGTCTCAAGGTTCTCTGGCACCGCGGTTCAGCCGGGCCACTCTGCCGCATATCATCCCGAACAAGGCGCAGCCGGACCTTCGCAGGGCGGCCGCCCGGCACCGGAGCCACAGCCGGCCTCACGCACCACCGGCGGGAGCCCACAGCGCCGTCGGACCTTCGCAGGGTGGCCAGGCCGGCACCGGAGCCACAGACGGCCTCACGCACCACCGGCGGGAGCCCACAGCGCCGCCGGACCTTCGCAGGGTGGCCAGCCGGCACCGAGCACAGACGGCCTCACGCACCACCGGCGGGAGCCCACAGCGCCGTCGGACCTTCGCAGGGTGGCCAGGCCGGCACCGGAGCCACAGACGGCCTCACGCACCACCGGCGGGAGCCCACAGCGCCGCCGGACTCGCAGCGGCCAGCCGGCACCGTAGCGACGGACGGCCGCACGCACCACCGGCGGGAGCCCACAGCGCCGCCGGACCTTCGCACAACGCGAGCCCGGCACCGGAGTCACGACGGCCGCACGCACCACCGGCGGGAAGCCACAGCGCCGCTCCCGGCCGGCGCCGTCACGCCACACCACTACAGCGCGCGCGTCCCGTCCGGCTGCCGGGGAGGGGCGGTTGACGGGCGGCGGCTGGCACGGGTGCGAGCCGCGGAGGACCGCCGCCGGCCGACACCAGCTGGTGTGTGTGGGGGGGGGGGGAGGGGATGAGATCGCGGAGAACTGGCCGCCCGCCCGCCATCACTGGAGTGGGGTCCAGACCACGAAGGACACCGCGCCCAGGCGCTTCACCGCCAAGCCGCTCATCACAATGCGACCAGGCGCTGTCCGTCACTTCCGCCACTCTAACCAATACAAGTGAAGGAGACACGAACCTATTCCAATGACGCACGCTCCATGAGTCACCCTACCGACATGTGCGTCATCGCCCCAGCTAATGACAGGGCAGCGGCCGAACGGACCGGAGACTCGTCACCAGCGGGCGGAAGAGACGAGCGGCGGCGTCGCTCCAGGCTCAGGATTGGCTGTCGGTCGCGTGCGCCAACTCTAACGAGAAAGTCTGCCACGTCCCAGCTATGAATTCAGAAAAGGCGCCTGGTGGTGCGAGACGGGCCGGTCGCTCACGCCAACCGTCGGCACGGCGTCAGCTGTGTGGTCGGGCACCTCACACCGCCATGGGGGGCGTACGGCAGGACTGGACGGCTGACTGCCGACCGTTCTAGCCGGATTCAACAAATACCGTACGTGAACCTGCTCCTAATCAACCCTCACATCAAGCACTGGTTTAAAATAACATCGGTGACTGGATGGTTCGAAAGCATGGACTACTTAACCATGCAGCCTATTTGTGTTGCCTCTCACCAGAATCAAGGTCGCCTATCTTGCAGCCTTACACTGCCTGTCCAGCCTGACAAGAAAGCGCACAGAAGGGACCGCACCTGTCCTACCAGCGTGGCCCACTCAAACGGACGGGGGCGAGCAGCAGCGGCCGCCGGGCGAGCCAAAAGTGGCTTCAGAGGGCGGGCCGAGAGCAGGCCCAGAGCGGCCCGAGCGGGCGGCCCGAGAGCGGCCAGAGCGGGCGGGCCGACAGCAGTAAGAGCGGGCGGGCGGTGCCACTCACCAGGTTCTCGGAGGTGAGCCGCGTGATCTCGTGCAGCATGATGGCTTCGTTCTGGCCGGGCTGCGCTGGCCCAGGTTCTGGCTGATGAGTCGCGCTGGCGGTCGTTGTCGGCCTTCAGATGACTGAGCTCCTCGCGGTACTCGGCCTCCATCTGCAGCAGGCGCACGCGCTCCTCCTTCTCCAGGTGCAGCTCCTCCGCCAGCTGCCTGCAGGCGACGCCACACAACGGGCGCCGGTCAGCGCGCCGCTGGCTCAGCGGAGCACCCGCGTTCTGAGCAGCGACGCCAGTGCTCGTGCAGGAGGGCATACGGGGCGTAAATACCTCGCACGCCAGCCGGGGATACATCGCGGCCTTCAATCGCGGGATGAAGCGGGCCAGGAGCGTGACGTCACGACCCCACACCCACCGGCGGCGTGCACGGCGAGCGCCGCCGGCGCGCGGCTCCGAGCGGCGCCGCGACTGTCGAGAGCCGGCGGCGGCGCGCCGCTCCATGGGCCGGCCGGGGTCGCGGCGACCGCGGCCGCGGCCGGCCGGCCACCGCAGCCGCACGACGCGGCGGTCGGGGCGCGCGACCCCCCGCCGCCGCCGCCCGCCGGCCAGGGGCGCCGCGAGGCGGGCGCGGCTCGCGCGGCGGGCACGTTCTCTCGGGTCTCCCGTCGAAGGACCCAGTGGGCCGTCACGCGAAGTACGGGAAAAACCTCAGGATGGCGTGACGGAGTGCACGCCAGCTGTCACAGTATCCCCTGATGCGGGGAAGAAGCCTAATAATGGACTCAGACGTCTCTGTTGTTCAGGATAAAACGTTGAGCTTAATGAGAGACGCGTGAAACCCGCATCATTTTGGTGCATAACAACGCTCGCTACCAAGCTGCAATAAAATGGGTGTTCCTCCATTTAGACAGGCCGACACCATGGGACTACTGGGACCACATCACTGGTTTGAAGAAAACAAATATATATATATTATATATATATAATATATATATAATTATATAATATATACCTCTGTTTGTCTCTTCATACAGGTTCTGCCGTTCGGGCCACCGATAGCTGGTGTCAGTTTGCTTAGAATGCTCCAAACTAAATCGGTCATGATATATTGCAACATGGCAAATTGGTCGTTTTCTTTTTTTTTTTATGGCAATGACAGCAATGGGACAGCAGTACCTACCCCTCTAAGCATCCTAATTCGCAAGCCGTGGCAGCCTGTCCCTCACACGGAGCGTTGTTGGCTGCACGTGTGGTAGAGCGCAGACGTAGTTTGCGGGCCCTTACCAAGAGCCCGGCTCCGCGGCGAGCGGGCTGTTCACAAGCTCTTTCGCAGCTGCAGGAACTCTACATTACACTCACTCGAAGCAGCTCTGGCAGACAGACCGACCCTGAGCCACATTGCTAGACCAGCAAACGCGAAAGTTCCTCCACTAGCCGAGTCAGACACCACCAGCACCCGCAGACTGGTTCCGCCCGTTCTCAACCCACCACGTGAACGGTAGCACAGCGTCCATCGCTAGCCAGCACCGTTCGGCTCCGCACGCCGCACGGCCCCACCCCGCACCCTGCCACGCGCCAGAGGACGCCAGCCGAGCCCCACCGTCCGAGGAGACGGACGTCGGCGCCCACCTGTTGATCTGCTTCTGCGTCTCGAAGGCCATGAGCACCTCGCCCTCCTCGCTCGTGTCGCGGTCCTCCATCCGGCGCAGCGGGAGGCTGGCGTTGTTGGCGATCACGGTCCGCAGCTGGATGCATTCCTCGCGCCGCCGCTCCACTTCGTCCTGCGGCATGCACGTAACGCTCGCGTCAGGCGGTGCGATAAGTGCCGAGACGGGCGCGGAGAGTGGACGGCGGTAAAGACGCGGTCACAGCAGCGTCGATCAGGCCAGGACAGTGGGACGGCGGTAGCGCCGTCACAGCAGCGTCGATCAGGCCAGAGGAGTGGGACGCTCAGTGATGTGCGACTAGCCTTAAGCTGGTGCTGACCTAATGATTATGAGCGCAGCAACTGCAACGATCACTTCGAACACTGGTGTTCAAAGCAACACACGGATCCCAAATACGACCGGATGTTTCCCACCATTTCAACGCGCTGCTGAGCATCGGTCTATCGTTGGCATTCTCAACACGGGCACGGAGCCGGTCAGCGGGGCGGCATCTGTGCTGACCCCAGCCGTCGGCGCGTGTCTCCGTGCGCGGCCGACGCACCTGGATGGCGTGGAACTGCAGCATCAGATCGTTGCCGGGGTCATCGCCGCTGCCCGAGGCTATGCTCTGGCGCAGCTTCTGCAGGTCGGCCTTCTGCTTGGCGTTCTCCATCTCCAGATCCTGCAGCTGAGGGCGGGCCGGGGGGAGGTCACGTGCCAGCCCGCCGCGCCCGGGCACGGCTGGGGCCGAGCCGGGCGGGGAGGTCACGTGCCCGCGCGCAGCAGCCCACCACGCACGGGCACGGCTGGGGCCGAGCCGGGCGGGGAGGTCACGTGGCACCGCGCAGCAGTCCGCCGCGCACGGACGTCAGTCACTGACGTGCGTGCGCGGGTCTTTTGGAGCGCTGACGTCACAGACAGCGCAGCTGGCCACCCTGACCAGATGGAAACTACGAACTTCTAAACTGGGATGGCTACACAGATACTTCATCATCCGATGGCGCATACCAATCCCCACAAACGCATT